CTTCAAATGCCGATGTAGGAATGAAAGTCTGTTCCCATAATAAAGTAAACAGGATTGCCGAAGGAAAAAAAAAAATAAAATAGGCTATCTTTAGGTTTCTATTCTTAAAGAATCCTATAATATTACAAGAAATAATTTAGGCTTGGCCTATTTAATAAATATATAAAATCTTATATTAGTATAACCTTCAGATTTTAATATTTTATAAATCTAAGATTCAACTTAATAATTTAAACATAATAAAAACTCAATAAACTTTGCCAATTACCAAATATTTACCTTTATTCTTAGAAAAAATAATTAAAACAATTAGAAAAGATCTTCTACTAGAGATATCCAAAATGAAGAAATTATACTAATCAACATGGGTGCTTTAAGTTTAACTTATTACAGGTAAATAGATCATGAAATTACCAATTTTTATATTATAATTATATACTAGAAATCAGAAACTGATGTAAGTCTAAAGTATAAATAAAAAATTAATAACTCTAATATATGAGACCTGCCAAGATAAAACCTGGAATTGTGAATTTTCCGAACTCAGCTTTAAAGAGAGCTGTTTAAAAAATGTGATTGACTCACGGTTCAAACATACCAAATAATATATGATTAAATAAACACATGATTAAATATACTTTATTATTATCATCATCGTTATACATAGTGTTAAAATTTCGTTATACATGTACTGTTATTTGCACAAAATTAATAATGGGCTGTGCAAATTGCACAAAAAATAGAATAAGATTATGTATAAAAAAATTTTTTGCACAGCATATTTGTGCCGAATTTTTAATTCTGGTTGTACATATTAATAACTTATTTACAATTTCAATTTTTTAATATTTTTTTTTTCAGTTTTTTTTTCCTTCGCACGGGCCCCTTTCAAATGTTCAACCCTCTCTATTACACTATCTGGTAGTTTTGAACAAAGTTTATTGCGAAATGCAATTGGGCAGTATGGGCCAATATTTTTCCACAAGTCTACTTGTTTTTCTGCTAAAAGACCTTTTTGTGGAAGTATCCGAGGATTTAGTTGATTTATATCAACATATTGCTTAATCAATTTGAATTCGTCCCAAGGATCTGTAGCCCTTACTTTGGCCTTTATTATACCAGATCTTTCATAACTAAATTGAAAGAAGTGGTATTTTTGGATCGTAGGAGGCTTTCGATATAATTTACTAAGTTCAGTTGTCTAATCCTAAAATAGTCCTATATTGTCTTCTAAATTTACGGAAATGTTATTAGGTGAACTTCTTTCGATTACTTCAGCTAATTGATCAATATACCAAATTTCTAATCTAGAGTATTCTTTTTTAGTAGAACCGAATCCACAATCAACTGAGTTTCTAGTATGCCTTTAATTTGAAAACAATACTCAATCTCTTGAAATATTTGAGTATCGCAAGCCCAAAGAAAATACCAAAGAAGGCACGAATTCTTGTTTTGCTCTCCACAATTATCTGCCTATAATCGGATTTTATTGGCTTTATCTACTATAGAAGTAAGGAATAAATTTACTATTGAGGTAACTTCGTTTGCTCCTTTCGAAGCTTTACCTTCAGTATAAATTGCATGCCAATGCTTGTCAATTCCTTCATCAACGAAACCAAACTGATATATTTTTAATAATGATAAATAATACCATTTTTCAGATTGCTGAGGGTCATGAGGTAATTCTACATTCTGAGCAAAATCGAAAGAAAAAACGTGAAATGAAGATTGGTTACAATTTCTTGCTACTTTTATATCATTTTAGTAAGCTTCTCTCATTGCTTGATAGTCTAATATATGTTTTGCCAACTGTTCGTCGAGATCCTCATTTACATAATTAACATTCTCATTTAATGCATGTCTAAATAAAGTGCATTCATTACATACATCTCTGGATGGTTTTCGAATTTTAATTTTATCAAGTTCAGAGTCACTTTTCCATATTTTTTGTAAACTCTAGCAACTTTTAATGTATTTATTTGGATGCATTAAGTTATAAGCAATATGAAGACGACTATACAAATAGTGAGAAGGAAGAAGAGTTATATCATCCTTTTCATAAGTTACGGTTATTTGTTCACTTGTTTTTTTTTGTGTATACTTTCGTACGGCTATTGACTCACCATGTTGTTCTCCCATCCGTTTAATAAAAGATTTTGCTTTATCAATTGTTTCAACGGATAAAATGTTTCCAGGTATGTGACCAATACCACCATGATATCGAGGCAACATTGATTTACGGTTTTTAACCCATTCATGAAGTCTATATAAAGTATCTTTTTTGCATATCCAAAATGTTTTAAAAAAAAGAGAACATACGTTACCAAAATATAGTAATTAATATTTAAGATAAATTCTTTTATTAGGTACTTTATTATAAAAAGCAGCTATAAGTATTGTTATTAAAGATTTTTGTTGTTTTTTATCTATTTGAAGAAACTCTAATGCTAAGAATTATAAAAGTTCAGGAGAAACTTTTTCACTACATTTGCCTTTTTTGCATATGCAATTTTCTTTAAGCCTAATGATTAATTCATTCAATGCTGTTTAATACTCCTCAGGAATCTGCACAATATCTTCAGATTCCTCGTCTGTAGTAGTATCTTCACTTGATTCTGACTCTGATTCTTGAGGATAAATATCCGTATCTGCTTCTTCATCATAGTCTTCATAATCATCATCCTTATCAGTACTATAGTCTGATTCATAAGATGCATAATCCAAATTGTCAAGAAAATTATCCAGATTTTGGTCAACAATATTAGAAAGCGCTATGATTAGACAATATAGATATGAGTTTTATGATAAATAAATTGTATAGTAATTTTATTCTTTTTTTATAAAAACAAATAAATTATCCTTATAATATATAAACTCTTTTATATGGTTTTATAATAATTATTTTTAATTGAATATAGTATTAATTTGGTTGAATAATCTAATTAAAAGCCGAATTTAGTAAATTTATTAATTTGCCCGAATAATCTAATTGAAAGCTGAATTTAGTAAATTTATTAATTCGGCCGAATAATCTAATTGAAAGCCAAATTTAGTAAATTCGGTCGAATAAAAGTAGCTGTAGGCGATATTAGTTCTAATAATAATCGCTTAAAATCTTGTATGCATTAAATTAATTTGGTAGAAAATATAAATTTTTTTAAAATTTTGTATATATTAGTGAGGTTATAAAAAATATTAAAACAGTTTGCCTAAATTATTACAAGATTACTGTTATCACGAGATTAAATTATCACAAGATTACGGTGTGCTTAGATTAAATTCATCAGGGTTCTGATCAGCCCATTTCTGAGAATGAAATTTTCGGAATTCAAAAATTTCAGGTTTTACCTTGGCAGCACTCATATATAAATAAATTTCTCAAACAATTGATTTAGTAACCAGTTTGTTGTGAACAGGCAAAATATTTTCAAATAATAGTATTGATATTTGTTTATAATAATTATGTTGATGCATCAAAAAGAATTTTTTATGGTCAAATGCATCAAAAACACAACTTTTGTATCACATAATATGTAAAAATTAAGTGTTTATTGGACAATAAACACTACAAAAAAACAGAAGCACTATGATATAAAAACAAGCGAAATTTTTTATAAAGACCCATCACCATACCAATCAAATTTAAGGTTAGTAAATTTTATTTTTTATTTTTTATTATAAATTTAGAAAATTTTTAGAAAATTTTAATTGGCCAATAGTAAACAACCTATAGGCTAGTCATGTACACAATTTGATTGGCCAAGCATATAGGGTCGCCATGGCGACCCGTTGCCCCTAAAAAAAATAATTATTCTTGTATTGCAAGGTAAATGATTAAAAAGTGTAACGATCAAAACATGTATCAATAAGCATGTGAGTAGAGCCAATCAGGTGTTGTAAAAACAGAGTGTTCTCCGCTTCGCTCCGGACAATCAGATAGTTTGTGTATTTGGGGATGGCTGAAGCCAGGTACATCACGAGATTACCCGATTTTTCCGATTTTTTAATTATAGCTGTTTTCAAAATGATGTGGAATGGGCAGATCATATTACAGGAATTAGCCGAGATTTTCAAGATTTCCAAAGTTTTCAAGACTCGCTCTTCAAATTCTCTGATTCCCCATATGGGTATATGGAAATCGTTTTCCACATATTTTTGAAAACAGCTGTAAAATCGATTAATATTAGGGTTGGGGTTAGATTAAGGAGTTTTTATAGTAAATTTGCATTTCTGACGCTTTTACTTAGTGAGCCAAGACCGGTTTAGATAGCCATTTTTTAGGTCTCACTTTGTTTTGTTCGGGCTATATATCGGGTAATCCCGTGATGTACCTGGCTTTAGCCAACCCCCTTATTTGGAAGGATGCTAAACCGAAGCAACTAAAATTAGGGTTGGGGTTGTTCAAAGGTTAGAGATTAAGCAAGGTTTATAGGTAAAATTGCAATCCCGATATTTTTGTTAATTCCCCCAAGAGAGGTTTAGACACTCATTTATTGTATTTTTGAGATTTGTTGTTTTTTTTGCTTCGTGAAAAATGGGTCGGTAAATTGGTCCCGACTGTATACGATATGTCGACATACTGTTAATATTTGCACAGTAAGCATAAAATATAAATCAGAACCATTTAGTTACAGCATACATTATAGTAGCCAAAAGTATCCCACCTCCTAAGAATCTTAAGACGATTGACCTTTTTAAATTCTTTTAAATTCCGATATACGTAGATCACACTGACTCGGCTTTGCCATAGTATATAACATTAAATCTTATAAATTTATCTTGTGCGAAGGCATAATTCTGTCCATTTAGTAGGTGAACTGCATGGATAAACTCGATTATAACTGGTGGCAATCGGTTAAATTTGGAAATTTTGAATGATTTTTTCTTTGAATTATTAACTAAAGTTGTTCAGAATCAAAAATTACATTATCTTAAAAGGAAAAGGCAAGATATCTTTTCTAAAATTCAAAGATTTAAACAAAGCTTCGAATATTTGAGCTTTAAAAGAGGGTATCTTACTTTGCCCTCATAAGATAGTGCATAATATAGTGTAATGTAATTCTGAACAAATTTAATTAATAATTCACAAAGAAAAAAAATCATTTACCGTTAATATTCTTCATTAAATCTATTTTATTCATAATAACTTAGTAGGTGAGCATTATAGGCAGTTCACTTTCCTTAATTACTTGCAAATCGTATGTAAAATTCACTAAATTTCCGCGTATCTAGTCTGTATTACCGTAAGATTTGTATTATACCCCTTAAAATACTCTTTTTCGTGTTAGATTAAAGCACAAAAATTGTCATCTCCTAGAGAGCATTATTATTTATAATCACTTTCATATGTATGTTACTCCAAGAAAACTTTCTTACTACGTATACTATGTACCTCAAAA